TGGAGCTTACCGTGTTAAAGTGTGAGCGGTTAAGTTCATGAGATGTAAAAGTGGTCAATTGATGATACGGTGGCTGACCAGTCCTGTCCGTATTGTTGTGCTTGGGTATTAGTTGTTTATGATTATGGGCATGCGATCCACTACGTGTTCCTCAAAAATGAAATAAGTTTAATTGTTTAAGCTTTTTTGCCAATCCAGGAAAGTCAGAAATACCATGGCGGTATCGCAAACTGAGCAATTCTGCACAGGTGTAGGTAAGCATTCCTATTCAAAACAAAAACCTATCGAATTAGAATATATTCAATCTAGCAAGCTAGCCTAGCAAGCTGGCCTAGTCTAGTGGACAAAGCACTCATTGTGTGTGCAGTCAGCCGTGATCTATCTAACTAGCTAACCTAGCAAATTTCAACACATTCAACTGTCAAAACAGATAATTATGGTATCATAGATCAGGTAAACTTGCATACACTAGATCTATGATAAGCAAGAATTAGAAAAAGGCATAAAAAAAAAACAAGAATACTAATTAACTTGCACAATCTGTTCAATTTTCCCGAGAGAGATTAGGTTCAGCTGTAAGCGCCTCGGCAGCAGATGAATATATATGGTAAGGTAATTAGGTGCGTGTCCGTGCCGATTTAGAAAGTATGCACCGGTGAATTAACCGGAAAATCGCTTGGATATTTTTTTTGCTCGAACAGGCCCTAAGACAAGACTTACAATTACAATGGTTCAACAAGATTTAGACCATAAAGTGAAGTGGCAGTTCAACTTTCAATGAGAAGTACTGAAGTTTTTGATTCATTTACTTTGAAGTATATTTACAACAATTCACATTCATGGGATTGGTGATGAATGAAATGTATTTCAGAACAGATAAAATTAACGTCTCAACGAGATTTGATTGACAGATAAACCGACTAATCAGCGAGCGTCATTTTAATTTCCTTAGACAGCTGGTTTAAACGCGAAACATATGCGAGCCTAGACCTAGCTTGGTTACCCAGATTTACACAAGAAGTATGCATCAGTGACTTGGCCTTTGCCGACAACAAGGTTGACTGAACGCGGCTTTTCCCTCTTCTTTTTGGAGCGAAATACAGGGCTTTTACAACAATTTCCCTGCCATGTTCCATGAAATAGATTAACACTATGAATATATGATTCATTTGCATACCGCCTACCCTGAATTCTCTTTCTTAAAGAAGGTTGATAGCAAAGAAAATCTTCTCCAACTCGGTGTAAGTCTAGTCGCCATTGTCTAAGGTTTTTGTGACTTTGAGGGCGGGGCTTTGCGTCCTTGTCGACATGCCAATTGTACATCATCAGCATTCATGGAGATTCCCTCCAGACATATGACACGGGTCAAGTAAAAAATATAAATGGAGAAACGAAGACCGACTCCTGCAAATTAATTAAAGTCAGGCTTGAGAGCGATTCATCATCAATGACAATGGATAGCAACCTCCCGGAGAGGTAGGAATGAAATTGTGATTAGGCAGTGCCTGTTATGATCAGATAGTATCTTCAAAGAAGAAACTGCAGTGATCAACAGCATCAAGCAATACAGACAAATCAAGCATTATTCAAAACATCATGTTTCTAATTCAGCAAGAATATCATGAAATAGCCATCTCTGTACAGGTTCTATGCAATTTTTTATTAAGTCGATTGGAAAGGCCAATCAGTAACGACTGTTAAAGTGAATTAGGGTTAATCTGAGCTAAGAATGTTGTATATTGGCCGGAAGTTATTAAAACAAACTGTTAGTTCAGTAATGATTTCTCTAGAATGGGAAAAGCAACTGTAGACTATAAATCAAATGTTAACCGAGTATTAAATTGAGAATTATATAAATATTCACTTCATTAGGAGAGTAATTGTTGGAATAGTATCGAGTAAGAAGATCCATAAAAACACAAGCACCTTGGTTTCCCTGACATTTAAAGAATGTAAAGTCAGAGATATTAGTCCAAAAAGGTTTTTAGAAAATTATAATCTATGCTGTAATTCAAATTTCGCTACATCTTTCTCCAACTTTTTGCTATTCAATCCATACTTCAAGTTCTTGCATACAATGCACAGTCGGCCTAAATGTTTAACATGATATTAGTACTGTATACTGTGTGAATTATTTTAAAATACTAGCATAGTAACTAGGCTTGCTGTACCTCATTTACAGTATATAAGTTGAAAATAGCTACAGTACTATGTCTGTCTCTTATACACATCTAGATGTGTATAAGAGACAGGCTGTAAGCGCCTCGGCAGCAGATGAATATATATGGTAAGGTAATTAGGTGCATGTCTGTGCCGATTTAGAAAGTATGCACCGGTGAATTAACCGGAAAATCGCTTGGATATTTTTTTTGCTCGAACAGGCCCTAAGACAAGACTTACAATTACAATGGTTCAACAAGATTTAGACCATAAAGTGAAGTGGCAGTTCAACTTTCAATGAGAAGTACTGAAGTTTTTGATTCATTTACTTTGAAGTATATTTACAACAATTCACATTCATGGGATTGGTGATGAATGAAATGTATTTCAGAACAGATAAAATTAAC